AAAGAATTGAGAGAAGAGTATGATGATCTTTTTGAAGTGAATTCGATTACAGTTAAGATAATGCATGATTTGTTGCTACTTGAAAATCAGCTTCCCTTTTTTGTTCTATCGAAGCTATTTGGCATGAGTTTCAAGAACGTGATGCCAAATCATCAAGAAGGTTATTTCATTTCTATGGCTCTCATTTTTTTCACTCCCATAGTGCCAGGACCAGGAATCCGATACGAGCAACTTGGTTCCATTCAAAATATCAGGCATTTACTTGGCTTAGTACACGATCATTGGCTTCCTTCATCTCAAGGAATGGAGCGTTACCAAAAAAGGGAAAGACATGAGAATGAATGGCTATTCATACGTTCCGCCTCAGAACTGAGGGAAGCAGGAATCAAGTTCGAGAAGCTTACAGTGGGAAGCAAGTTCAAGAGGGTTTTGGTCGAGGGAGACAGCTTGTTTGACATAAGGTTCGAAAATGGGAGAATGAGGATTCCAACCTTGAGTGTTTACTATCATACGGAACGTTTCTTCCGTAACCTCATGGCATATGAACAATTCATCAAAGGTCCAACTTATGTGATTGATTATATTATGTTCATGGATAGCCTAATCAATTCAGGCAAGGACGTGGAAATACTCCGTCATCGCGGAATTATCAATAATTGGTTAGGTGATGATGAGGTGGTAGCCACCATGTTTAACAGGCTTCGAGATTTCATTTTCTCGTCGAGTGACAAATTCTATTACGCCAACGCATTCGATGATATAAACATGCATTGCAAACGGCGTCGCAATATATGGAAGGCAAACACATGAAACAGCTTCAAACCATTTCAAGAGAGAACCCTGGTTTTGGTTCCCTACTCCAGCTGCTGGCTGGGATGGCTCTGACCTTGTTGGACGCTTTGGAGTCCGAAAGATGAATTCCCATGGAAGATAAGAGCATCTGTTTTATCCTCAGTTCGTGCACATCAAGGGGCCCTGAGATCTTTAGCTGTTTGCCAAGATGAGAATACAGTTTTCACTGCCGGCATTGGTCCAGGGTTCAAAGGAACTGTTCAGAAGTGGGATTTGACAAGAATAAATTGTGTATCTGGATATTATGGTCATGAGGAGGTTGGTTCTGTTATTATGTTGCATTCCAATAGAACTCTGATATCCCTCGTCTATTTCTGTAATTATGTTGGTGATACGTTATCTATGTTGACCTGATATCCCTTGTTTCATTGAGTCTTCAGGGATTTAATGCAGTGAGAGAGATAAGATAAAGAGTGGATAGGTATAGGTACTGCTGCAGGAATATGATATTTTGCTAAATATCTACTGGAACACATGCAATATACTGTCTCCTTATCTAGTCATGCTATTAGTATGAAAGTACTTTATTGATCTGTTTGGTTATTGTCCCTTTGGATGTGATCGCACCATTTTGGTATTATAGTGGCCATGTGTTGATGAGGGTCATATTCAACTGACGATTGGTGAAAATATTGTGAAGACACTAAGTTTCTTTTACATGTTTGTCTATATTCTTTGGCTAAGCTTGTCAGACTTTCAGTCTCAGTTATGATATATTTCTTAGCTAAGCTTGCTATGCTTTTGGTAATATAATTGTGGCTATGTGGATTTCTCTAATTGCTTTTGGAACTTTCAGGTTGTAAATGACATATGCATCTTATCATTGAGTGGAAGAATAGCATCTTGTGATGGAACAATACATGTTTGGAATGGCCAAACAGGGAAGCTGATATCAATATTCTCGGAACCATCCACAGATTCCCTTCATCTTGCAAGCCCTTTATCTTCTCCATCAAAGATCAGTGCTGACCATGTTGATATGTTGAATTCAAACACATTATCAAGTGGAGTACTTAGTAGTCCATTTGATGGAAGCTTGTACACTTGCATGCACTATTTAGAGCATGTTGAAAAGGTTGTGGTCGGCACTGGAAATGGTTCTCTCAGGTAGCTAGTTACTATTAAGAGTGAGATTTCAATTGTTAAATCATCTGATATAAATAAAGAATCGTGTTGTTAATGCCTTTCTGCTTGTATTTTTCTACATGAAACAGATTTATTGATGTTTCCCAAGGCCGAAAGCTTCATTTATGGAAGGGTGAATTCAGTGAATCTGCTTTTCCTTCTCTTGTCTCTGCCATATGTTCATGTGGGTCTGACAAAGAGCAAGGAAATGGAGTTTATGCTTCACCACGTTGGACTGCAGCTGGACTAAGTTCTGGTCACTGCCGGTTGTTTGATGTGAGGAGTGGAAATGTTATTGCTTGTTGGAGGGCTCATGATGGATATGTTACAAAGGTATATGCCTAATTCACCAAATTAGTGGGAGAAAGAACTTATACTCGAAATGCAGTTTCATTCATTTTGCATACATGCAGTTGGCTGCCCCAGAAGAACATTTGCTTGTTTCCAGCTCTCTTGACAAGACTTTGAGAATTTGGGACTTGAGAAGGTAATTATTGAAGTTGAAATTTCATGTTATTGAGATAGAAATATACAACGCTTCATTAGAAACATTTTGCAGTTGGGTTGATATCCATGCAATTCTGATTGCTTCACTAATTGTTTCTTGCAGAAATTTACCGGAGCCTGTCACTTTCAAAGGACATAGTGATGGAATATCTGGTTTCTCTCTGTGGGGCCAGGATGTTATTTCAATTTCCAGAAATAAGATTGGACTTTCCTCATTAGCTAAATCCGCTGATGAAGTACGTAAACAACAATATATGTCTCACTCTATTTGCGTTAAGTTAAAGCACATAGCTTATATCTCAAGCCTTTAATGTTATTTGGATTGCTAATGGATGTTTCCTCATTGCTATATGGATTACTAGTATTATCTAGTTTTATCAATTTTCATATTTAGTGCTAAAGAAAAAAAAAGAAAAAGGTTTTCCCATAATGATAGTGAAAACTGAAATGCGTATGGCAGGATGGGCAACATCGAGTAATACCTCAAAAGCTGTACTCATCAGATAATGGAAGTAGAAACATGTCGGTGCTGTCAAGTATAAGTATAATACCTTTCTCTCGACTGTTTGTAGTCGGAACAGAAGATGGTTATCTGAGAATCTGTTGTTAGATGGGAGATGGGAGATGTTCCCTTCGCTGATGAATCATCAATGTCGGTCAAACCAGCTAACGAATGGGCTTTTCTTGTTTAGTCTATAGTTTTGTCTGTAAATTTTCAAGTGCAATGACTAATGAAATTCATTCAAAAAGATTGTTTTGCCAAATTTCTGGTGTGAATAAAAGTCGCAAACTTTTTTCTTTTTTCTCCTGTGTTATACATATGTAATGTACTAAGGGTTATGATATTCATGTAAGATATTATAATCATAGTTGTGTGTTAGTTTTGAGTGATTTGGTACTCTCATCCCATCCCATGAATTAATATTACTATCTTTGTTTTGTTTTCTAAATAAATATATGCCAATGGCAGATTAATACTTATATAAAGGAAGAGGAATTCAGAACCGTGAATTTTAAAAAAGGTGTATCAATCAAACTCTGCTAATGATAACACTGGCTCAGAATTGCTAGTTGATCTTTCATTTTACCAACATCCCATTACTATTTTTTCTTTTTTTGTTTTTTTGTTTTTTTTTGTTTTAATTGACAGCAATTTGATTATTTAGCAGTCTAAAGACTGGTCTCAATGTAATTGTAGCTTTCAATATCCCAAAGAATAGCCCCATGCTTGAGGTTTGGTTTTTACATTTTTGCATCACATCCTTTGATTACAAGAGTCACACTATTCATTGGCATTTGGTTTTAATTAAGGCAACATCTTATAGGTTGATCTTTGTATTCCCATCATCATTTTGGTTCCCCTTTTCTATCTTGGTTTGTACAGGCAAATGCTGAAAAGAAGTTGGTAGAGAAGCTAATTGCCCTGGGCTACTCGAGTCCTAAATCCCCGGGGCCAGGGTTGTCTTCATAGCGAAACACTGTGATTTATATTTGCATTGTATTTGTAGCAGCAAGCAAGTAGATTATACTAGTCCACAATGTAGAATCAGTTATGGGATCCTTTTTAACTCATTTTATTGAATGGTTGAATCACTATTCTCATTAATCAATGATTCTGTAATTTATTTGCTCTGAAGGGAGGGCAAGCATGTATGTAACTATGTTAGTTAGCCACATGGGAACAAGTTGGAGTGCTCATGGAGCTCAAGAATCTTAATTATTCTTTTCTTATTTCGGGGTAACCTTAAATATTAGACCTTGAAAAAAGGTTATGAGACTTTATATTTATAGATGATTGTAATGATTTATACATTCTTTTAGTTAATACGAACAATTTATATCGTCAATTAAAGATTTAATTTATATATATATATATATATAGATATATTTGAATAAAATAACTAAGTGAGACTTTGACGTTCACATTAATGAAATATATACAATCTGATTCAGCCATTGCAATCCAACTGCATATTATTATTATTTTATATATATTTTGCACTAAAATCAGAGAATGATGTCGATGAGAAGAAACACCGGTTGGCTCAATAGGGCTGGATTGGCTTGTCTGGTAGACCCTCTTAGAAAAAGAAATTAAAAAGAGATCCGTACTATTGTACTTGTAAAAATGTGATATCATTAGGCATGGAAGAATTAATTTTCAACCAGCTAGCTTTTTGATTTATTCTCATTTCATTGGATTGCAGAGCCTGCAAGGAAAAGGTACACGGCATATTCTTTAAAAACTTCTACTCGAAAAAATGCTTCTTTGGTTTTGAAAACCTTAATTACTTGATGGTCCATCTTTCATTCAGCAAGTAGAGAATGGATGCTTGTTGATTTGTTACAACAATCTTCTCTATAATCAAAGGATAACAGTCGATTCCTCAAAAAACTTTTTACGTTTGGAATAACAAACGCTTTCTAGTCTCCTTGTAATATATCTATATATATATATATATATGTATATAACCTGCTTATTTGATCCCACAAGGTTGTAATATTGTCTAAGAATTTGCACCCAAAAATTTGTCTCCATGGCTAGTTCCATCTCCGGCAACCTAGGCGAGGGTAGCTATCCTTGAAAGATGTTTGTTTATGATTTTGTGCATGCAATGCCTGGTTTAGTGTTTTTATTAATTTCTGCTCATATTTTTGCCCTAATTATAAACCTTATTGTCTATGACACTATTAATTGCAGAAGTTGCAAGATCCATATCAGAAGAATCACCGAGTCATTACATACTAAAGATACAGTCATTTTCATTACTTATAAAGAATGGCATAGAAAAATATGAATCTGGAGAGTTTGAAGCTGGTGGATACAAATGGTATTATTAATTTCTTTATATATATATATATATATTTATTTATAGTACTATATGTTTATCACTGATCGGTAATGTTAGCATTAGCAACCTGTAGTTTTTTTGTATAGGAACTGCACTAGCTTAGCCTAACTTTTATTTCTGTATGTGCTCACAGGAAACTGCTTCTGTACCCAAATGGAAACAAGAGCAAAAATGTGAAAGAGCACCTTTCTCTCTACTTGCTTTTGGCTGATGTTAGTTCTCTCATTCGTCATAGTCGGGAGGTCCACGCTATTTTCCGGTTTTTCTTGCTTGATCAGAGCAAGGACAAGTACTTGATAGTTCATGGTACATATTAATTCCATGCAGTTTTCTTCTTTTTTTTTTTTTTAATTATCAATGAACGTGACAGTTTCAAAGCTTTAATTATGATTTTTTTCTGATTTTGTAGCAGCATGTTACTTTAGATTGTATATATACATAGATGAAGGTGCTTCATTCGAAATTAATTTTTTTATTGCCATGCCTAGATGCCAAGGAAGAGGACAGGCGCTTTCACAGATTGAAGCATCAATGGGGATTTGATGAGTTCATCCCAATTAGAATGTTTAATGACGTTTCCAATGGATACCTCCTGGAGGACAATTGTGTGTTTGGAGCTGAAGTGTTTGTTACCAAGGAAATGAGCTCAGGAAAAGGAGAAAGCTTATCAATGATAAAAGATGCTGTGAGTTCCAAGCATGTTTGGAAGATTGAAAACTTTTCCAAATTAGATTCAGAATGCCATGAATCACAAGAATTTTTTGCTGGCGATCAGAAATGGTATCCATTAATAACATACTTTTTCTTCTTCCATCTCCTACTCCTATATAATATTCTAGAGATTCAAGTTCAATTTTCAGGGGCTTTTCTTCATTGCGAGTTCACCTTCATGGTGGCAGGAAAATACAGCTTTATCCAAACGGAAGACGAAATGGATCGGGCACTCATATCTCCATGTATTTGGCTTTGGCAGATACAGCCAGTACTCTTATGGCTGGTTCTAGAATACTTGCAGAGTTCACTTTGCGTATTCAGGACCAACAGCAGAACAGGCACATTGCAGGAAAATGTATAAAAGCTCAAATTATCTATCTGTTAATAACATTCATCAAACATCCTCAAAAAAAAAAAAAAAAGTCAAAATAAATTACATCATGGATATATCATATATCAAAACTTAAAATTTTGGTTTCTCTTGTTGCAGATAGTTACTGGTTTAGTGCCTCAAACCATGAAAGTGGGTGGGCAAAATTTGTTTCTTTCCCGTATTTCTATCGTTCGGGCATTGGCTTTCTAGTGAAGGATATATGCATGGTGGAAGCAGAGGTGACTGTCCAGGCAGTTGCTACTACATTGTAACTATTTTTTTTTTTTTTTTTATATGAATTGTAACTAAAAACACTTTAGTAGCCATTCTTATGTTCTGGTATTGTTGTACTTGTAAAAAAGTGGCAGAGTCTCCTATTTATACTGTGTCTTGGAAAATATAATTATTATAAAAAACAAATTACAATATATGCTGTTGAGATTTCGGAGGATTTGGACTAGTCCCCACATATTTTTTCTAAATAGAGTTGAAGATAGTAGATTGAGATATTGTTAAGTTGAAGATTCTCTGAAGATCCAAGTAAGATCAATAGCTGTTAGTTAGAATTGATCAATTAAGTAGCCAACTGAAACCGTGATTGATCTCCTATGCAAGACACGAATTCTCATAGACAAAACCAAAGCAAATTGATTGTTTTGCAGTGCTAAAGACTGTCCTCAATGTAATCATGGTTTGCAATATCCCAAAGAATAGTCCCATGCTGGAGGTTTTGCTTCTTTTTTTCCTTCTTGTTTCTCTAGTTGCCAATGCATATCCTTTCAACTTCACTACCAATTGACATTTAATATAATTTAAGAACAAGGATCAGGCAGTCATATCTCCAAGTATTTGGCTTTGACAGATTCAGCCACTTTACTGCTGGTTCTCAAATATTTAAACATGCTCAAATTATCTGTTAATAGCATTCATCAACTATTCTCAAAATTAGAAAAAAAAAAAAGGAAAAGAAAAAACTCTTGTCAAATAAATTACATCATGGGTATATCAGTACTTAAAATTTTGATTTCTCTTGCAGTTAGTCTCAGGTTAGTGCCTCAAGCTAAGAAGTGGGGTGGGCAAAATTTGTTTTTGGGGTAAATCTATCATTCGGGCACTGGCTGAATACATTGTAACTAATAAATTGGGACTAATGTTTGCTGTTCATGGTGAAAAAAAGGAGACAAATTTCATCTATCTATTCCACAAGCTTAAGAGTCTACAAACCAGGGCAGTTAATTCCTGGCATGGGTTTTTACGTGTTTTAAGAAAGTTCTGGAGTTATAGCGCTTTCTTACTGCCAACATATGTGAGAGAGGAGAGCCTTAAAACTCATTATATATATATATATATATATTGTAATTACATAATTGAAGAAGAGATTGAATAATAAAAGAATACTGGAGAAATTTTGCAGCTGAGATAGATATTCCATATCAGTCAGCTTATCAAGGTTGAATTTTAGGGTCTTGATCATAACTTTGTTCACAGCTTTCAGCTTTGCTTAGTTTGAGTCTCAAGATCATATTTACTGGGCTTGATCAGGAGAAATCATGTAAATTCTAAGTTAAAGACTTCGTTATATGTATGTAATCAGAAATGAGTTCACAACTTAGTTTAACACTGGCTGTAGTCTACAAGCAGGCAGGGTAATTACAGTTTGCTCCTGCCTACTACTACGCTGGGAATAAGGACAGAACACGGAAGAGGAAGCCCGCGTCTAGCGAATATGAACAGAGCTTTGAAAAGTCATGACACTTAATTTTGCATCAATAATTGGGAAAGAAATAAGACAAGGAGATCAATAATATTGTACGCAATGTCAGTGGGACTAGCAAGAAACATAAATATACACTAGTGTTCCTAGCTATTTTATAGTTGACATTTATGGTTGTGAGCTAGGGATGTTTAGGGTATGTTTGTTTTCAGAATATAATATTATTTTTTATTTTATTTTTTATGAAAAATAAAATATATAGATGAAAATGTGTTTGATAATTAAAGAAGGAAAATATTTTTTGGATACTAAAACATAACTATGCCTAATTTTAAAAATAAAAATTATTTTCAATAAAAAAAATATCTAAAAGTGAAAACAATGAAAACACCAATAGTTTGAATTTTCGCTATCAGGTCTTATCAATCACCTAAATTTGGTACCTAACAAAAGTAAGAAAAAAAAAAGTATTTTTGTATAATTTATATTTGTCACGCTCCGAATCGAGACATAACACGTTCATATTATCTTGAAGTAAAACCTCAAAGCAATACGAAGCCTAATCCATAGCCATTAAACAACTCTCAAATATAAAAGGTTCTCATTAAGTAACATAGCTAGATAACAAGTCTCCAAAGGTTCAAAGTAGAGTATTACAACTAAAATAAATAATACTTCATAAAATCCTATATTTCTAAGTAGTTCTCCAAAGCTCGATTCTTCTAGCTTTTCTCAAGCTAATCATACTTATCATTCATAACATCTGTAAAAGAAAAGAAAATAGGGAATGAGCAAACCACAGCTCAGTAAGTAAAGGCTCACACACCTTACCGGATCAAACATCGTTTTCTTACACATCATATAAATCATTCAAAATATTTGTCAAATCATAATGTCAAAATATGTCACTTCATAAATCATTACAAAATATGTTATCATTCAAATATCGTAGTCAAACCAAATCATGGATCAATCATTAAAAATCATCATAAATCATCATCATCATTCAAATCGTTAGCTACGGTCACTGCTATAACCCGTGACATTGGCCGTATCGACAATTTCGTTCTCATGATCATTGCTAACTATTATAACCCGTTAGCCAGGGCTTACGCTAACTACTATTACCCGTTAGCCAGGGTCGTAGAACTAGTTCTGGTGTCGATGATCCCACTTTCCAGGGATATAAAAACGTAGCTATCATAAAATCATTCTTTAAACATAAATCATTTTCTCATTTCAATCATAAGCATGATCCATCATTTATATAGAGAAACACAAAATAATCACATGCTTGATCCTATTTTCATACACTGAAAATAATGAAATAAAACATTCTTTCATTTAGAAACATATATATATATATACATAGATTCGAAAACAAGTAAAGTGTGTGAGATTCTACTTACCTTCTTCTGATTCCACCACCTAATTTTTCTCCCTCAAAATTTAGTGGCCTATTCAAGATAATTCCAACATAACAATAATTAATCAACCCATTTGAAGCCACTTATACCAAAACAATTAAGTTAAACAAGTAATAACTCGAGTAATTAATTCTGGCAGTCTGCGCTACTTTCACTAAAACGACCATAACTCAAGATATCCAATTCGGAATTAAAATCTTATTAATGCGTTAGAAACTAGACTTGACAAGCTTTCTATCCATATATGGCTCATCTCGTGATTCTTTGTGGATTAATTATAACAATTTTTGCAATCCACGTCATATGCTGCTGCCAGACAGCCTGTATACCTTTTCATAAAAATTACGTATTTATTCATAGGTAACTCCAAATTCAATTTCGCTTATTTCGTTGAAAAGTAGACTCGATAAGCTTTCCAAACATATATGGCTTAAACTGTAAATCCTTGTATAAAAATTTAGGGAAATTTCGTAATTCCCCCTTACTGCTGCTACTAGGCAGCCTGCACCTCCTTAGGTAAAAATTGGATAACTCTTCATAGGGAACTCGAATTCGACTCCCGTTTGTTTAATTAGAAAGTAGATTCAACATGCTTTCCAACCATATATAGTAATCATAGTAGTATTTAACCCTTTAATACAGAATATAACTTTAATTCATCACTACAAACATATGATTCATATCAGGATTTATACGAAACAAAGATTTTCCTTTCTATTCCCATCAAATTTTTGTTTCAACAATAAATTCACATTACCAACTTTCTCAACACTTAACTTGACTCTAATTAAAGTCTAAATCATCTGCCCAAAGAGGGATAATGGAAACCCTAAAATTTTAGGGTTTCTCGATTATAATCTACACTTTAAGACTTAACCATCAATACTCCAAAAATTGAAAAAAAAGATTATTTACTCACCTCTAACAGATAATTTCTCCTTGTTGATTTGTTCTTCCTTTCACTTGAAATCCTTCAATTGATCTATTCTGTATAAGAAACATATGAGAAATAAGTCTCTGTTTTTATTACGACTAATCGTCGACTGAAAACTAAAAAGTTAACTCTATTAATAAAAAAATTTGGGTTATTTATCAATAAGTCCTCTACACTTCTCATTCTTTATTAAAGAGTCCCCTCACTTATAAAAATACTTAAAATAGTCCCTTTTTTTTTCCGGGTATTACAATCTCCCCAACTTATAAAAAGTTTCGTCCTCGAAACTTGATTTACCTTCATTTTCGAATAACTGAGGATGTCGTTTCTTCATATCATCTTCCATTTCCCAAGTTGCTTCTCTTGGTGTATGATTGCTCCATTGGACTTTTATAAAGGGAATAGTTCTATGCCTTAAGACTTGCTCTTTTCGATCAATTATTCGAATAGGATATTCCAAGTATGTTAAATCTTTTGAACTTCTAAAGGTTCATACTCTATCACGTGGCTTGGGTTAGAGACATACTTTCTCAACATGGACACATGAAAAACATTGTGCACACCAGATAGCTGAGGTGGCAAGGCTATCCTATATGCAACTTCTCCCACCTTATCAAGAATTTCAAATGGACCTATATAACGTGGGCTTAGCTTTCCTCACTTCCCAAACCGCATAACACCTTTTGTGGGTGACACTTTTAAAAAAATAAAATCCCCTTGTTGAAATTCTAACTCCCTTCTTTTTTTATCTGCCCAACTCTTCTGACGATCTTGTGCTGCTTTAAGTCTCTCCTTAATCACCTTGATCTTTTCTACAGTCAGTTGCACCATTTCTGGCCCTAGGAGTTTTCTTTCCCCAACATCATCCCAACATAAAGGGGATCTACACTTTCTACCATACAAGGCCTCAAAAGGAGCCATCCCAATACTAGATTGATAACTATTATTATAAGCGAACTTCGCTAAAGGTAAGTAATCATCCAAACTACCTTTTAGATCAATCACTCATGCTCGAAGCATATCTTTTAAAATCTGATTTGTTCTTTCTGTTTGCCCATCTGTCTGAAGGTGAAAGGCTATACTCAATTTCAAATTTATCCCCATAGCTCACTGTAAGCTTACCCAAAACTTAGAAATAAATCTAGAATCTCTATCTGACACAATACTCACTGAAACTCCATGCAATCGGATAATTTC